CCTCCCTTCCTCCCTTCCTCCCTTCCTTCCTTCCTTCCTTTTTTATTGTCTAAGGTTTTACATATGTTTCCTTTTCCCCCAATTGACCACCCCCCCATCCCTTCCCAGCCTGGGCAGCCCCCACTGCCCCGAGGTCTGTGTCCATTGGTTATGCTGATATGCATGCATACAAGTCCTTTGGTTGCTCTCTAACACCCCCTCCCCTACCATTTGTCTCTGGATCCATCTATGCCCTACCTCTTTCATTTGGGAATATGCTCACCTGTTTCGAAAAGCTTGGCATCTTTTCACAGACGATTCTGGCACTGGCAGGTGGGTCAGGGAATTCGTAGACTTGGACTGTGCGTGGCGGGGGCCCCGCCACCCAGCTCTTCATCGGCTCATACACAGGGCCTAGAGGTGGGGGGCGCAGCACGGTGGGCACCTGGTAGGCCTCCTTGGAGCTGGCGAGAGCTTCCTCCAGGGGTCTCAGGAAAGGGGGACAGGGACTGTCTGTGGGGGCCTCCGAGAGGATTTGGAGGCGGTTGGCAGGGGCCAGGCCTTGCTTCCCGTGGAGCAAACACCTCCACCAGCCCTCACTTTCCGGCACGTGTTGTTCTAGAATGGTCAGGATGTCTCCTTTGCAGAAAGCCAGCTCATCAGAGCAGTCCGGGTCATTGTTATAAAGTGCCCTGGCCAAGAGCGCCTGTGGGTGAGAAGGGAGAAAGAATTCATTGTTGTTACCGCTGCCATCCACCCTTGCACCGATACCGCTCACTCAGGCACGTTGGAGCCCTTCACAATTGCTATTTTATCTCCTTTCCTTGTCCCCAGAGGCTCCGGTCCCTGCTCTTTGCCGGATTCGTTCCTACTCATCCTTGGGGGCTCAGGTGACATGTCACATCCGCAGGGAAGTCTGACCTGCACCCTGAGACCAGGTCCAATCTCCCTAACATGCCCTCACGGCCCTGGCTTAATTTGTGACTATGACCCTGGCAGTTACATAGCTGAGTGACTTCCGCTGTGTGTCCTTGAGCAAATTGGCCACTCTCCTTGGGCCTCAGTTTCCTTGTCTGCAGAATGGGAATAACAGTAACTATCTTACCCTACGGTGTTCTTGTGAGAATTAAATGGGTTGATGTGTATAAAGCTCATTGAAGCGCAAGTACTTAGGAAGTGCGCAGTAAAGCTTGCCTGTTACTATCATAATTATTACATCGTTCTTTGTCTGGTTCTTGTTATTTTTTTCCTGAATTGGACTGGAAGTCCCATGTCTGCTGGGACCATATCTCGCTTATTTGCTGCTCTTGTCCCCAGAGGCAAGCCTGGACCGGTGCATAGGGAGAGGCTAAAAAAAGTTCATTAATGAATGGATGATGAAACTAGGACTCAGCGGGTTAGTGACTTGTCTGTGGTGACACAGCCAGGATGCAATCCAGTCTGTTTCCCCAATTCTCAGAGGCCTGATCTTTCCATAAGCTCCACACTCCTAACAAAATCAAAAAAATCACCTTGTTGCCGCAGCAGCGATGGCTAAGCTCCCTTCTCCTTAGAACTTTGTGCTGTAATTAAATGAAGGTAGTTTGTTTCTGTGGGGTTAATATAATCATTCCTTATATATCAATGCATGTTTATTATAGGAGAATTAGGATATATAGGTCCCAGCACACAGTAGGTGCTCGATGGCTACCTGGTGCGTTGATGGGTGGGTAAGGGTGAGTCATGTGATGCCCCAAAGTCAGGTCTTTGGAGTGAAAGTGACACATGGTACCAGATGACAGCTCTGATTGGGGGGTTGGGGCACCGCCCCCTGTCACACTCAAAGCAGGGTCGATAGGGAGGTTGCAGCGCCACCCAGTCACGCACAGAGCAGGGCCGATCAGGGGGTTGGGGCGCTGCCCCCTATCACGCACAGAGCAGGGCCCATCAAGGGCTGTGCCCTCTCGCAGTCTGGGACCCCTTGGGAGATAACGACCTGCTGGCTTAGGCCTGCTCCTGGGTGGCAGAGGGCAGGCCCACTCCCTAGGTGCAGCCCCTGGTTGGGCTCAGAGCAGGGCCGATTGGGGAGTTGGGGCGCCGCCCCCTGTCATGCACAGAGCAGGGAGATTGGGAGGTTGTGATGTCACCCTCAGTCACGCTCAGGGTAGGGCCAATTGGGGGGTTGGGGCACCGCCCCCTGTCACACTCAAGGCAGGGTCGATGGGGAGGTTGCGGTGCCCCCCCCTTTCATGCACAGAGCAGGGTCAATCAGGGGTTTGGGGAACTCCCCCTGTCACTCACAGAGCCGCAGGGCCCATCAGGGGGGTTTGGGCGCTGCCCCCTGTCACGCTGATCCCAGTGCTGGGAGGTATATTACCCTTTAACTAAATAGGGTAGAGGCCTGGTGCATGGGGGGGGCCAGCTGGTTTGCCCTGAAGGGTGTCCTGGATCAGGGTGGGGGTCCCCACTGGGGTGCCTGGCCAGCCTGGTTGAGGGGATGATGGCTGTTTGCAGCTGGTCACATACCCTTCAGGGTGGGGGTCCCAACTGGGGTGCCTGGCCAGTCTGGGTGAGGGTCTGAGGGCTGTTTTCAGGCTGGCGGGTGACAGAAGCTCCCAACCACTCCTTTTTTTCCTTTTTTAAAAAATTCTGGGCCACCTTTAGCTCTGAGGCTCTAGCTCTTAGGCCTCCGCTGCTGAAAGTAGGTATCTGGTTTGTTTCAGTTCTATAATCAAAACAATGTATAACTCCAGCTCTGACTCCAGCTCTGAGATCCCAGCTCGCTGAAAGCTGGTTTCTGGGTTGTTTTTTTTTAGCTTCTATATTTGTTAAAATGTTTCAAATTGCAGGCTCAGAGGCCTGCAAGGCAGGCGGGGAATGTTGGTTTCCTCTGTCACTGAAGCAAGCAAGCCTCATGTTCAGTTTAAGCTGCCTGGCTGCTGGCCGCCATCTTTGCTGGCAGTTAATTTGCATATCTCACTGATTAGCCAATGGGAAGTAGTGGTCGTATGCCAATTACCATGTTTCTCTTTTATTAGAGAAGGATTAGATAAGGATAATAAAAGCATAATAAGCTAATTAAACTGGATGTCCTTCTGGACGACCTTCCAGACAAAGCTGGGGCTGTGAGGGAAGCTCGGTTCCCAGGTGCCAGAGGGAAGCTGGTGCCAGCAGCCGGGGGAAGGAAGGCCTACTGTTGTCGCCTCTAGTATATAGATAACAGCAGTTGACCTCTTGTTTAAAAACCTTCAATTGCTTAGAACAAAACCTGAACTCCCCACCTGATTGCCCTGCCTGCCCCGCTATTCCTGTTAATTTCCCTCCAGCCACATTGCTTTCTTACTTTGCTCAGACACACTGATAAGCTTGTGTCCACCCCAGGACCTTTGTTCCTGCTACTCTTTCTGCCCAGAACTATTTCCTTCAGATCTTTGCATGACTAGCTCCTCCTCCCGATGTCAGCTCAGGAGTTGCCTCCTGCAGAGGCCATCCCTGACCACCACAAGGCTACATTCCTCCTCCCCATCCTCACGGGACTGAGAGCTGGTAATTCTCTAGGCTGGCAGTGTGGGATGAACAAGAAAAGAGCAGCAAACATTCATTGTCCTCTGTATGGACAACACATGGACACAATCGACAAGCCTCGGCAAAGGAACCTCCTAAGAATCACAATTGCCTCTGTATTTTTCAATAAGGTGTTAATTTGGAAACATTTGTATAAACATTTGAGATGAAAAATGATATATATTTATATTCTTATTCCCTGTGGACACACAGCTAGTTAGATCTGGGTACCACGGAAGAAACATTCTTAACCAATTTCCCCCCAAAAGGGCATTTCCTCCAAATGCCCACTTCATACAACAGCTGGGAGAGGAGAAAGGAAAATGAATAAACACGTGGAAGGCAGAAGGGGAGGGAGCTTAGGGAAACAAAGACAAAGAAGAGGCTCCCTGTTCTCATGGGGACGCTCACCTCCCCGGGGAGGCCTTCACACACCTGCCGGATGCAATGTGCTCACCTCTGCTGAATCAGCGATCAGCTCTGGGGGTAATGAGCTATACTTGGAGAATCCTGGGATCCATTCATCCACTCATTTACGCATTCATTCATTCATCAAGATCATACTGAGCAGCTACTCTGTACCCACTGCTGTGCTGGAGATATGGTGGTGAACAAAACGGTTCCTGATCTCACCCCAATGCCCATTCCAGTGGAGGACACTCACTCTAATAAAAAATAAATACACTGGCAAAGCAGAAATGCTGTGGATACAGTTCACCCTTGAACAATGCAGGGGTCAGGGTGCCCCCCCATTAAAATTCCACCATAACTTTTAACTCCCCCAAAACTTAACTACTAATAGCTACTGTTGAGCAGAAGAAGCGTTTCTGCTAACACAGTCAATGCACACATATATTTTTATTGTGTATATTATGCAGTGTTCTTATAACAAAGTAAGCTGCGGAAAAGAAACTGTGTTTGGGAAAACACTGGTCCATTATTCATTGAAAACAATCTGTACATAAGTGGATGCCAACTGTATAGGGCTTCTACTTCTCGTAAGAGCAATGAAGGAAAATACGAGAAGCTATGAGAAACTGTGGGTGCAGTTGGGAAGTGATGATGGGCGAGGGCTTAGGGAGAGTTACCTGGGAATGGGGCCATGGGAGTGGGAACTGGGGGTGAGTAGGAACTTGATCAAGGGTGGGAGAGAGAGGAAATGTGGGAGAGCGGAGTGAGTGTGAGTGTGTGTGAAGTGGGCCGTGGGGAGTTAAAGGAACTGAAAGATGAGCAGGCTGCTGCAGAGACGTTCACGGGGACCCGGGGCTCGATTTCTGTGTTGGCTGTTGT